TTTTTGAGGTAGGATCTCACTCTTTCACCGAGGTTAGAGGACAGTGGATATTGGCGAGCTGCATGTAGAAGAATGAAACTGGATCTCCATCTCTCACCTTATACAAAGTCAACCCAAGATGGATCAAAACTTAAATCTAAGACCTGAAACCATAAAAGTGGTAGAAGATAGCATCGGGAAAACACTTCCAGACATTGGCTTAGGGAAAGAGTTTATGACCAAGGCTCCAAAAGCACATGTAAAAATAAATTAGTAAACCGATGTGACCTAATTAAATTAAAAAGCTTCTGCACAGCAAAAGAAATAATCAGATAGAATAAACAGAAACCCACAAAGTGGGAGAAAATATTAATAAACTATACATCTGACAAAGAATTAATATCCAGAATCTACAAAAAACTAAAACAAATCAGCAAGAAAAGAACACATAATCCCATCAAAAAGTGGGCAAAGTATATGAATAGACAATTCTCAAAAGAAGATATACAAATGGCCAACAAACAAAAAAATTCTCAACATCACTAATTATTAGAGAAGTGAACATTAAAACCACACCACAATGATATATCGCCTTAATACTGTAAATCACAGGTTTTAGATGGATACTGAAAATAGTAACTGATAGTACGTTGTCATTTTATTTAACAATTTATCTAGAATCACTTGGGCTATCAAAAAAAAAATCTTATAAAAATTCAATTCAAAATTGTATTTGCTACATTTTATCTGAAAAGAAAAAAATAACAAAAAAATTTTCTGTTTGGAAAGAAACACATGTTAAGAATTTTCAATGGTTGGCTTTTTTATTAATTTAGCAAAAGTAGATAAGTCTAAAAGTAATGAAAAAGGTGAAGTATTTTTTCTTTTAAAATCTCTAAAAATTCTAATTATATGTCACAAAAAATTATTTAAATGACATAATATACTAGGCTTGGTATGGAGCAATAAAAATTTAAAAAGTATTTAAAATAACAGTATTTCTGAGTTTCCTGGACTGACCTTGAGTGAATAGAATTTCAGTATTCAACTTTTAATATATGAGTGGATAAACTATGCCTATTTATCTATGTGAAGTGAGTGAATAAGGCAAAGAAGGAAACAGCCTAACAGAGTATCCTCTGTCTACTCTCTCATCACTGGACCAAGTCAGAATATTCTCAAAGCCAAAGTCTTTTATCTCAGGCTTAATGTGCATGGCAATAGCTTTGAAGTAGAAGGTCTTTGTTAGAATGAGACTTGAATGTTTCTATTTTCTGTGAAAATAATTATATTGGTGAATATATAATTCATTTTCTAAATCAGTAAGAGAAATAATATAACCATCCCACCTTTTGACCAGGAATCAGAGGCCTCACAAAGATTATTCCTCATGCACTTTCCTATAGAACATTGACTCTCAAAAGGCAGCCCCTAGACTGGCAGATTAGTATCACTTGGGAGATTTTTAGAATTGCAAATTCTTAGGTACTGATGCAGGACACGCAAGCTCCAAAATTGAGGCTTAGCCCAGGAGGGTTCTTGGCTTCACTCAGGAAAGAATTTGAGAGTGGGCCAGTAATATTAAATAGCAACTCTCCTTGAAGCAGTGCACAGCAGCAGCAGAGGTACTGCTCCTTGCAGAACGTGGCTACCACATGGAAATGTGCCCCAGAGGTAGTTCTGCACTCATATGTGTACCAAATTTTAATTATATGCAAATTAAGGGACAGTTTATGCGGAAATTTCTAGGATGATGGTGGCAACTTTCAGGTTGTCAGATCATTGGTATGTAAAGGAGCAGTAACTTCCAGGTGTTGCCATGGCAATGGTAAACTGACATTGCACCCTAATCTCCTGTCTTATGGGGAGGTGATTCCAAGCCAGACCTGTTTTAGCTACTTCTCAGTATGGTCTAGTGTTCAATCCCCATGTCTGGAGTCTGGTCCTACCTCCTACCTCAGTACCCCTGTGACCTACAACTAAATCAGAAACTTTAGGGGGTGGAGCCCAGCCACCTGTATTTTAATAAGTCCTCCAAGTGATTCTGATATAACTTAAATTTTGAGAATCACTACTACAGAGTAAATCATACTCCCAGTGGTTTAGGTGGTTATTAAATCAAAAAGGAAAACCTATTTTCATTGGCTTATCTTCTTTTCAGACTTAGTCAAAAAATAGAAGCTTATATGGTACTGACTACACTTCTTTTTCCTTTTCTTATAGAGACACATACAATTTTGATTTTCATTATTTTAGAGCTTTAGTTTTTGTTTGTCGGGTTTTTTTTTTTTTTTTTTTTTTTGATGGACTCTCACTCTGTTACCCAGGCTGGAGTGCAGTGGTTCAATCTCAGTTCACTGCAACCTCCGCCACCCCAGTTCAAGCCATTCTCCCTGCCTCCCCCACCCAAGTAGTTGGATTACAGGCATCCACCACCATACTTGGCTAATTGTATTTTTAGTAGAGACAGGGTTTCACCATGTTGGCGGCTGGTCTCAAACATCTGACCTCAAGTGATTGATCCACCCACCTAAGCCTCCCAAAGTGCTAAGATTACAGGCATAAGCCACTGTGCCTGGCCAATTTTTTCTAATATCAAAGGAATCACCGGGGTCTTCCCTTTCTTTTGATTCATTTATTTTCTTGGTTCTGAAATGTTTTTTAAAATATGGAATGCTTTATGAATTTGTGTGTCATCCTTTGACAGGGAGCATGCTCTTCTCCATGTTATGCCAATTTTAATATATATGCTGCTGAAGTGAGCACTGGTTCTGTGTTCATTTATTTATTTATGTGTTTATTTATTTTTAAGACAAGGTTTCACTGTGTCTTCCAGGCTGGAATACAGCAGCATGATCATGGCTCACTGCAACCTCTGCTTCCCAGGCCTCAAGCAATCCTCCTGCCTGGGCCTTTAAAGTGTGGAGATTACAAGTGTGAGACACTGTGCCCAGCCTGCAATTTTTAACTGCTGACTCTGATGCCTGGCTTTGGTTGTACTAGACACTCCCAATACTTTTTTCTGTAAAAATTACTGGTTTGTTAAGCTCCTTCAAAAGATCTTTGGTTTTTTATACATCCTAATATGTGAGGCCAGGTGTGGTGGCTCATGCTTGTAACCCCCACATTTGAGGAAGCCAAGGTGGGAGGATCTCTCAAGACCAAGAGTTCAAAATCAGTCTGGGCAACATAGTGAGACCCCTGACTCTACAAGAACTAAAAAATTACCTGGGCATAGTGGCGCATGCATGTAGTCCCAGCTCTTGGAAGGCTGAGGCAGAAAGATCACTTGAGCCCAAGATGTTGAGGCTTTAGTGAGCCATGACCATTCCAGGGCACTCCAGCTTAGGTGACAGAGTGACACCCTGTCTCAAAAAAAGAAAATATTAATAAGTGCAGAAGCATTTTTTTTTTTTTTGAGATGGAGTTTCTCTCTTGTTACCCAGGCTGGAGTGCAATGGTGCGATCTCGGCTCACCGCAAACTCCGCCTCCTGGGTTCAAGCAATTCTCCTGCCTCAGCCTCCCGAGTAGCTGGGATTACAGGCACACACCACCATGCCCAGCTAATTTTTTTGTAGTTTTAGTAGAGACGGGGTTTCACCGTGTTGACCAGGATGGTCTCGATCTCTTGACCTCGTGATCCACCCACCTCNGGTTTCGCCATGTTGGACAGGCTGGTCTCAAACTCCTGACCTTGTGATCACCTGCCTCAACCTCCCAAGCTGCTGGGATTATAGGCATGAGCCACCATGCTCGCCCAAGCTTTATATTTTTTTTATAACAGACATTAGTTTTAGATCCTCATGAAAATTGGCTTTTTAAATACATTAAATTATACATTCATGTTTATTTTATAGTTTCACTGCTAACATATTCTACACTTTGAGAAAACATTTCAAAAGTGATTCTAGATGCTGAGAAGGCTATCAAACAACTATAAGTGAAAATAGCCCCTAAGAGTTAACCAAGGAAATAAGTCTGGAAGGAGAAACATTCTAAGGAACTTTAAGGCAACTATGACAGGAAGGGGCAAGATTTGCTTAAGAAATAAAGGAAAAAGAAAAAAAAATCACAGACAGAGAGAGAGATCAGCATAGTTGGTATAAGAGAAAGGCTAGAGTCCCCTTATACAAAGGCTTGTAGAGTATTTGATGTTTTATCTTATTCCTAAAATAGCAGAAGCTGTAAAGAGTTTTAAACAGGGAGAGGGTTGAAAATATTACAGACATCCTTTCTAAGGCATTTGGAAATGTCATTCAGACATGTATAATGTAGGTGAAGAATAAACTCCATAATACTAAATTCAGTAATATTAAATATAAATATAATCTTATACCTTTGAAATATAAAATGAATCTACTTCCCAGTGTTCCTGGAGCATGTAGAAAACATTGCTACACACTACTACACGACAAAGAGCAAACCTTAAATAATCAACAACAAATATGCAAACAATTTGACAGCAGCAAAAATATTCCTATATAAATAACATTTTATTTAAAAGGCAAATCAAAATAGCAATATCAGCCTCTTCTCATTCTACTCCTTTCCATTGCTATAAGCATCTTCAAAAAGAAGCATCTATTCTTCGTCTGGGCTTCCTGATTTCTGACTCAGTGAACTCTGGTTTATTGCTCAAATTTTTTAAGTTAATCTCTTTTTTGTTACTAACAGCCTATTACAGGACAAACTAATTGGTCTCTAAATACTTACAGTCATTGTCTTTCTGCAGTATGAGATACTAATAACCATCCAAAAATCTCCACAATCTCTTTACCTTTAATTTGCAGAGCATTGTTTGTCTGAGAATAGTTTCTTTGTTTTTTTTTTTTTTTTTTTTTTTTTTTTCTTTTTTTTTTTTTTTTTTATTTGATGTATCCTGCTTCTTCAAGCTCAAAATTTTTTCCCAGGTTTCAGATCTCTCTTATTTTAACACTATATTTATTAAAATAAATACTATCTGTTTGTCTAGATTCATTTGATTATAACTCTTCTGGCAACTTTATGACTAGGATTTGGAATGTAGCTAAATTGTGACAGATTAACAAAATAAAAAATACTATACAAATGACAGAGTGAAAAAAATATATTTATATTATATAGATGAAGATTTATTTCAGAATAGAAAAGCAATTCAAAAATCAGTAAGAAAAACATAGACAACTCAATAAAATTGGTTAAAGTATTTGACCAGGAATTTTATAATAACCAAAGAACAAAAACACATATGAAAATATGTTCAATTTTATTAGCCATTTGGGGAAATGCAACTGAAACCCCACTGAAGAATGGAAAGGACAAATAAAATTAAGTATTGGTGAAGAGATTGAACAACTGAACTCTCATATGCTACTAATGTGAGTGTAAATCTGTACATTCTTTTTGAAAAATTGGTAGGGAGTATAAGGACAATATATGCATAATTTGTGATCTGGAGTTCATATACATTAAAAATGCATTCAAAATATATTCACAGTGCACATATATTTAACAAAGGAAGCTATACAAATGTTTAGCACAACAATATATGCAATTTCTCAAAACACAGGAAAATTAAGATGTTCAGAAACAGCAGAATGAATAAAAAGCATATGGTTTATTTATAGAGTAAAATTAAAAGACAACAGGAATGATCAATCTAGAATTACTGGCAAAAATGTAAGAATTCCAAGAACACAATGTCGATATAAAGAGGCCAGAAACATTCACAACAACCTAGATGAGACTGCAGACTATTATTCTAAGTACAGTAACTCAGGAATGGAAAGCAAAACATCATATGTTCTCACTCACAAGTGGGAGGTAAGCTATGAGGATGCAAAATCATAAGAATGACACAATGGACTTTGGGGATTCAGGGGAAAAGGGTGGGAAGGGAGTGAGGGATAAAAAACTGCAACTGAGGACAGTGTACACTGCTTGGGTGATGAGTGCACCAAAATCTCACAAATCACTACTAAAGAACTTTCTCATGTAACCAAACACTACCTATTCCTCAATAACCTATGGAAATATAAAAAAATTAAGAGGCAGCCGGGCGCGGTGGCTCACGACTATAATCCCAACACTTTGGGAGGCCGAGGCGGGTGGATCACGAGGTCAAGAGATCGAGACCATCCTGGTCAACATGGTGAAACCCCGTCTCTACCAAAAATACAAAAATTAGCTGGGCCTGGTGGTGCGTGCCTATAATCCCAGCTACTCGGGAGGCTGAGGCAGGAGAATGGCTTGAACCCAGGAAGCGGAGGTTGCGGTGAGCCGAGATCGCGCCATTGCACTCCAGCCTGGGTAACAAGAGCGAAACTCCGTCTCAAAAAAAAAAAAAGATAAAGAAAAATTAAGAGGCGAGACACATGAATCTATATGATATGCTATGATATGATATGATATATGATGATATTTGTATGATGGCATTCAATTCAAAACAAGCATAATTAATCTATTATATTAAAGACTGTTTTACCCCTTTGGGCAGAAGTTTAGCTATTAATTAAACCCCAATTCTATTTTTCCAGCTCTGTTACCACGTTTTGAAATTACAATTCAATAAATACATCCTGTGTTATCAAAAAATCTTTTCTATTTTGATTTGCCTATTACTGATGACATAATTCCATGCTCATTCCCATTAAAGTAAAAGACAGATAAATTTGCTCATTTTCCTAGCACCTTCATCCATGTCATTGCCAAATATAATTTGAATATAATATCTCTTTATTTCCTTCCAAAATTATTGTCTACCCTCAGTCTTACTTATTTTGTAGACTAATACCAGATTGCACTTCCTATGATACTATCTTGATTATATAAATCCATGCTCACAAAGATGAAATAGATCACAACTTTTCTCAGTATCTAGACTTTATTCTTCACTTTAATGTTGTGAACTCATCACAGTAATGTTTCGATTTACCTTACCTGCCTGATTCATGATTCTCACAAATAGAGCCTGTAACTCATGGGAACTGGCCACTGGCACATGAATGTGAGCCAGCCAACTGTGTCATTCGTTCTGTGTTATAGATTTCTCAGTTTTACCTCTGCAATATAAATAGTGCTCCTCACAACAAATATTTTCTGATTCTTTCTAATAAAAATATAATTGGTATTTTTAATCACAATACTATTATGACTGTGTCTTACTTTTAGTAACACAGTTTTCTATAACCTTTACTTTTATTTATTCTGTTAGAATAGTATTTCTCAAACTTTAGCATCTATCACAATGACCTGGAGGGTTTGTATTAAAACATATTGCTAGGTTCCACCATAAAAGATTCAGATTAAATAGCTCTATGGTGATATTATGAAATGTTCATCTCTAGCAATTTCATAAATGATGCTCTTGCTGCCAGGTGCCACACTTTGAGAACTACTATACTAGCATCCATCACAAAGACATAGGTCATGTCTTATTAGCATTTGTTTTTCCTAAACTTATAACTAATTTGCCTAAATTTAAATCTAAATTTTAGATAAGCACATAAATACATACCATGCAAAAATAACTTGAAGTATAAAATATTGTCCCTTATAAGTATAATGATTATTAAACTGAAATGAGATTGTAAAAGCCTTGGAATTTGTTAAATTAAAATAAAAATTTATTAACATAAGATATTACTTCCATTAAAATCACATTCAATTCTATTTTGTTATAAGATATGAAATAGTACACCCATTTTAAGATTACCTAGAATGGAGTAGAGCTATAAGTAGTAACTTGAAACAAGAAGGATCTTAATGAAAGTAGATGTGTGTTTAC